ATTCGAAAGGGGTGGTGGTGGCAGCTATTAACATTTTCTTTTTCCTTTCTGCAGTCCTATATCCTAATGCCTAAATACTCTAGCAGTGTCCTCTGTTAGTGTGCCTAATTATAGGACTGCGACTGCTTGACAATCTGGGTGGAATATTAATATATCAGGCTGCGGTTTCCTTTCTCTCCAGGCAATCCTTGCTTCATTAACTGGGAAAAGCCATATCTAAACTTTGTCTCCTTAATTCATGGAAGAAATCAACCACTGTGCAGAAGAACAACCGCTCTTACCTTGCAGGGATGCAGCAACACAAGCCTGAGACCTGGAAACACCCTGTTGGGCGTTCTTCTCTACCAACATCTGTATCTTCTTCAATAACATTCGCACCACTTATTCCCCTCTCCTCACTCATGCCCCAAAATCAAGAACAGAAAAGTAAAAGGAAATCCAATGCTGAATATTAGAAAGGAAATACACTAACTCTTAGCCAGTACTTGGCTTCTACACTCTCACAAAAATGGGCTTTATTGACCAGTGACACCATAATGACCTTTACCAGCAAGCACAGTCTGTGTGGCAGTAGCAAACGGAACTGTTCATAGGCATGACCTTATGACATCACCCATTCCAGAAGGCTGCTGGGTAGCCATGACAGCCATGGCTGTGCTTCCCCAAAACTACATGTTTGTACCAGAACATGACATTGTTTTGTTTCCTAGAGACTAGAGATAGCATTTCTCCATCATCACCATCACCACATTTACCTCCCACCCTTTTTCTTCTTGCAGGGAACCCAAGACCACTTACATAATCTTCCTCTTCTCCATTTTTCATCTTCTTAAGAACCCTGTGAGGTAAGTTGGGCTGAGAGGCAGTTACTGGCCCAAAGTCATGCAGTGACCTCCTTGGCTAAGTGGGGACTAGAACCCAGATCTCCTGAGATCCAGTCTAATACTCTAACCACTCCTCCACACTAGCTGACAATGCATAACCTTGATATTTGCATAATGCCAAAGATTCCCCGAGGAAACCTCCTTCCCCATACATCCTTGTTCTCTGCTTCAGAATCCTCCTTGGCAAAGACTCCAGACTGTTGTGTGAGCCAAGCTTACCAATATTCTGAATTTTCATAGAAATGAAAGCATGGGCACAGCTCCCCACTGTCATGGGATGGGCCGTGTGTTTACATTTTGTTGTTACTTTATAAAAGCCTAGTAAAAGCAGCCCAGCTGCAGAAGAGGGATGCCTTTGCTGTGAGCTGGTCCTTTCCCTCCTTCCCTCTGGTTCCAAAAACTGGAAACAACCCTTTAAAATGTGGTTCCTTTATTGAGACTTCACTGATAACAGAACAGTTTGAGCTCCAAAGAGTCTTCAGCCGTAGCTGAAAAGAGAAGCCTCTGCTCATGCAAAGAGTCAAATCCAAACAGGAAACCTCTCCTCCATCCTTCCCATTCAGTGAGGCTTCTGGTGTCAGGCCCAGCATGGCTCTCACTGCTGGAGAGCAAGATGATGCATGCAGCTGTGGAGCCCATTTTTCCAATGTCCCCTCCTGGGCTCAGAGACTGGGTCTCTCACCTGCTCCCCCCCCCCGCCACATTCTGAAAACCCTTCCTCCCCTTCTGAAATGGGCTGTCCTTCATGTTCAGCCTAAGAAACTTGAGAAACCGGTTAAGAAGCTTCAAAGGCTCCAGCCTGCCCTGATCCTACTCCTCTTGTTCAGAATCCAATGACTTCCACTGAACAGTCTGCAACATGCCCGAGACTGGCCCTCCCTCTCTTTCCAGAACCAAGAACATAAGAAGAGTCAAGCTGGATCAGAGCAAGGATCCTTCTCATTATTCATCAGCTCACACAGTGGCCAACCATCTGTCCATAGGAATTCCCCATGCAGGACAGGCAGTGCAGCAGCACCCTCCTGTCATGTTCCCCAGCAAGGGGTGTACACAAGCATACTGCCTTGACACTGGAGGTAGCATATACCCACTCAAGACTGGTGGTTATTGATAAGGGTTCTCTTCTGTGGATGTGCACAATCCCCTTTTAAAGCTGTCCACATCCGTGGCTATCAATACATCTTGTGCAAGTAAATTCCATAATTCAGCTATTATTATAAAGGTCCTTCCTTTTTTCTGCTCTGAATCTCTGAGCAGTCAGCTTCCTGAGATGAACCTGGGTTCCAGTATCATGAGAGAGGAAGAAAAATGCTTGCCTGTCCACTTTGTCCACATCATGCATAATTTTGTACATCTCTATCTTGTCTACTATTAAAATTGTTTCCTTTGCATATTCCATTTTCCACTCGGTATCCAAAGGAGAAAAATTACAGAACTACTTATGTTTTGTCCTTAATCTGAAAGAGATGTATGACTTGCATTAAACGTAGGCCATTGTGTGGTTGTCCTTGCTAACATATTTAATTAATGAAATTTGAAATTTCTAAGTGATTTGTTCTGCTAGAAATTGTAAAGGGATAAAACTTCAAAACCCAGTTTAGTACTTGATCAGTCTTCAGCTATTAATGCAAGAGAAATGTTTCTCAGAGAAAATTATTCCACTGGATTCTACATGTGCTTTCAGAAAGAAATACGATTACAACTGTACAACCACATTTCTTAGAAATAAAAGCTCAAGAACATTGGACTCTCACTGAGTTGCACAAAGGTGCATTCCCACATCTCCTATGATATGCAACAGAACTTGAATACATTGATAACTATCACTGGATAAAAATATGCATGTTGATAACCTGTTAATTTGTAAAAAATGTGCCTTTTGACATGCCAAAATTACAAACAAAACAGAAATCTAAGATTTTGATTGAAAATATTCATTCTAATAGCACATATTTCAGCATGGATTAGAATATTGGATGGCCTAACTCGTTATGATTTCAGTCTTCAAAATCATGTAACTTCTGGGGGTGATGTCCATGGACATTCTCAGTGGCTGTCCTCAAATATAAACACCCTTCCATAGGAAGTGTGCAAGACAGCTTTGGGCACCAGAGTTAAGCTGACAATTATATTTTGAACGATACCATAATCTGATTGATCCTTTATAATTGGATTTTAAATTATCTGCCTCCCCCACCACCACTCTTCTGGAGAGATGGGCTATCAGACCATTTAAAGAACTAATAATACTAGATATCCGTCATCAGAGGGAACCCAAGCTTCAACATTGGTGTTCCAAGAACTGTGCTTTGGAGTACTTGCTTATCTCAATATCTAAATGTGCCGAATATTTTTAATGGAAAGTTAGAGTCATGCGCTGCAGCATTAGACCTTTTTTAGTCTCTCTTGAGTTAGATGAACCTGTGGTTAAATAATACATTGGAGCAAGTAATGACACATGATTGCTTTTGTCAAAAGTTGTTATTGCTGTCAAGTCATCTCCAACTTATGGTGACCTATGAATGAATACCTCCAAAATGCCTTGTCCTTGACAGCCCTGCTGAGCTCTTGTAAAGCCAAGGCTATGGCTTCCTTTATGGAAACAATTTGTCTTGTTGTTGGTCTTCCTCTTCTTTTGCTGCCTTATTATTTTCCTAGCATGATTGTCTTCTCCAGTGAGGCCTGCATTCTCATGATACACCAAAGGTACAACAGCTTCAGCTTTTACCATTTTTATCATCTTTACATCCAGGACTAGTTCTGGCCTGCTTTGATCTAGCACCCACTTTTTTCTCTTTCTGCTGTTTCCGGATAATCACAAACTTCTCCCCCAACACCATGCTTCAAATATAACAGTTTTATTTCCTGTCAGCTTTCTTCCCTGTCCAGCTTTCGCATCCATACACAAGGATCAGGAATGCATAGAAACAGAGTGAGTGAGCAGGGGCCTCCTGGACCATCTAGTCTGACAACAGCATGGATTGATAACTATGGTTACCAATGCAGATGCTCTTGGCCTTGAAACACCCTTACACCTCATAATGTTTTCTAGTTCCTTCTTGATGCCCTTCCTTGTCACAGTCTTCTAATTTCTTGGCTACAGTCTCCCTTTCAATTACAGACTGAGTCAAGGTCTGTAAAATCTTGCACAATTGCAATTTCTTCATTATTGACCCTAAAGTTATGGACTTTGAATTCTTCAGGAATGTATTTAATTTGTATTTTGGCTCTATACTTCTGTTGGTGACCATTTTCAGCTTTACTCTGATTTTTGATATTAAGAGTTCATGGTCACTGCTGCAATCTACTCCTGGCATTATTTTGGCAGTGAGAATAGAGTTTCTCCATCTCTTAGTTCCAGGATCTAATTGATTTCCATATTGGCCTTCTGGTGATGCCCGTGTGTGTGTGTGTGTGTGTGTGTGTGTGTGTGTATGTCTTATCATTTGCCTGAAGTATATACTTATAATAAACAGATTGCTGACTTCACAGAATTCTACAAGTCATTCTTCTGCTTCATTTCTCACCCATAAATTGAATTGATTTTGCTCTGTGTCCCACTTGTATGTTCCACTCCCCTAGGATTATAGCATGTATTGTTTTGCTGTGTTATCTATTTCCTCTTGGACAGTTACATAAAAGTTTCCAATTTCTTTTTCTTCAGCATCTGTTTTTGGAGTATAGACTTAAATGATGGTCATGTTGATAGGTTTTCCTATCAGACTGACATTACCCAGCCAGGTTTTATGCTATAGTCCCTTACTGCTTGAGCTACATCTTGCCTCAGTATTACAGCCATTTTGTTTCTTCTGAATTTGTCTATTCCAGCTTAAAGCATTTTGTGTTTATCCAACTGAAGTGCCCCTTTCCAGTGCATTTTAGTCTACTCAGACCAAGTACTTTGATAATTAAACAGTCCATTTCTTGCTTTATTGTTCTGCGCTTGCCTTGATGCATACTTCTCAAGTTTTGTGTTGCAATTGTATGTATTGTTCAGCACTGGATTTTCCTTTCACCTCTGTGAATGTCTGCCACTTAACTTCCTTTTTGACTTTGATCTAGTTGCACCATTAGTGACTGTGCTGCTTTTATGTGTCCTTTGCTCTTCCCAAGTAGCTGACTGAGTGCTTTCTGACCTGGGACTCTCATATTCTGGCACTATCTCTTGTTGCATTTTGGATTGTTTTATCACAGGGTTTTCAAGGTGAGAAAATTCAGAAGTGTTTTACCATTGACTTCTTCTGCACAGTACTAACCAGGGTTAGTACATCACTGTGACTGTCTGTAAAAGATCCTTCATCCATGCCTCCTTCAGCTGCTACAGTAGCTGCCTTTCAGAAGTATTTCTGCCCTCACCAGGTGTAGAAATAGAATAGAAGTAGAGTTGGAATGGGCCTATAAGGCCATCACATCCAATATCCTGTTTGGCCTCCATATGTGGTGACCCATCCAACTGCAGGCTGGCACTTTTCCAGCTTAACAAAGGTGACTCAGCATGCTAGCATGATGTATCACTACGCATTATCTTCTGCTGATGTGACTGTTACTTCTGAAGAGGGTGGATGCCTTTTACTCTGGTGTCTCCACTTCGACTATTCTGCCTTGGGTGACCCTAAGAAAGCACACTAGTGAGACTGTCTAGTTTCCTGACAGCATTGCTCTTTGCCTCTCTGACACTCCCAAATCCTTTACCACAATGAGATGTGCATCAAATGGGGGCCATTGGCAACCTATTGATGTATTATATTGTTTGACAAGTAAGATTAGTATTAGGAAGGGATATAGTAGGAATGAATTTCAGCAAAGCTTTTTCCAAACAAGGTCTCATCACAAGTTCCAGAGTGTTCTTAAAGTTATTCAGGGGAACGGTATACAGCTGTAAACTATTGTTGCAGGTTGTCCTGCATCAACAAAGCTAACTCTGATAGCTCCATAGCAAGAGCTTCTTGATAGTCCCTTAGATAGATGTGATAGTCCCTTCCTCCAGAGTACTAGAGAACTGCTGGAACCATAGAACAAGCTCCTAGAAACCCACAGAACTTGGAACAAGTAGAGCAAATCAAATAGGGAGTTACAGCCAATATTTAGTAAGGGCATAATTGGAGAGCACTTAGCTACTGTAAAGGAGTCCATATCTCAAGGGCCAATGAATTACTTCCCCAGGTATTGAAGGAGCTTGTAAACGTTATTTCAGAACTGATGTCTGTAAACTTTGAGAACAGGTAAGGTGCTGAAAGGAGCAACTGCTGTCCCCTTTTTTAAAAATGAGGGGAGGTGGATCCAGGAGACTGCAGACCAGAAAGCCTGGCATCAGTACCAGGCAAGTTTCTCAAACAAATGATTAAACAGCCAGTCTGTATATAAATGACCTGAATGAGAGTGCAAAGGCATTGGTTACCACAGCTGCAGATGACATGAGGCCAGGAGGAATGGCCATAACCATAGAAGACCAGATCAGGATTCAAATTGCTCTAGACATGTTCAGATAAGATCTAATAAGAGGTGACTCAAGAGAGATAAAGAGCTCAAGTTAAGGTTAAGCCCACCTCCAGAAAAAAATAAAAGGCACAATTATTGGAGAGGAAAATACCAGATTTCCTCATTTTTTAAAAAGCTATAATGGCTGAAAAATACAGGAAAAGCCTTGGAGAATGACAATTTTGTAAAAAGGCCCTGCAAACATCCGTAAGTGTGGGATCACAAGCACAGAATTAATACCAAAGCCCCTAATAAAATTCTGAAATGCATTAACTGAAACATCATGGTTGGATCATGGAAAGTAATAGGTACATATTCTGTTTTGTGTTAGTAGGGCTGCATTTGGAGAACTGTGCCCAGTTCTGGGCACTCCGTATTATGAAGGACATTGACAAGTTGGAGTATGTCCAGTAAAGTTCAGCTAGGATGGTGAGAGGTCTGGAAACCAAACCCCAGGGGGATGGTTGAAAACACTGGACATGTTTAGGCTGGAGAGGAGAAGATTATAGTGGTTTTAAAGTATCTGAAAAGTTGTAATGCAGAAGATGTTCTCTGCTGCTCCAGAGGGCAGGACTGAAATTAATCCATGGAAATCATAGAGAAGTAGATTTCAGCTAAACCTGAGAAGTGGCTTAACCATAAGAACTGTTCAGCAATGTAAAAGATTCCTTGGAAGGTGGTGGATTCTTCTTCACTAGAAATATGTAAGCAGAGACTGGATGACCATCTGTCAAGATCCTGGACTAAGGTTCATCATCAGGTTGTTGCCATACCTTTTATTTTAAGCCCGAAGTTGAGCTTAGTAGGCTTGTTTTGCAACCAGAACTGAACTCTGTTGACTAGCTGAGACATTTCATCTGGCCTTATTGTCAGAAGTGGGCTTTTCACTGCCTCCCTCAGACTAGGACAGGGTTCCAGTAGGTAAAGAAAGTGGCAGTGATTTTGACTGTGGAACAATAATGGTGGGGACAATGCTCTTACTTCCCGGTATCTGCAGTGAGGGGGAGCTGGACAAGCATTGTCATAGCTTAGCATAGGCTGCTCATGGCCCAGCCTGGACAAGGGCAGCCTGGACGAGCTGCAGCCACACACGGTGTCAACCTTGCCTGTACCATGACTTTATAACCAGTGGTGGAGGTTGCCATTCCAGGCTATTGTAGCCTGAACTCTTAAGGAGCTAGCTGTGGTGCCGAAGCTTGCCAGCCAGTAGATTCAGCACCATGGACAGATCCTTTGTGCTTCTACTGCAGTGCAGACAGGATGTACTGCCTACCCTGCTGACATTAGAGCCACAAGCCTCCACGGGTTATAACAGACCAGTCTTTTCCTTACCACTTAGCAGCCAGTCGCAATGCACTGCTCCACCTTGATGCAGAGAGAAGGGTTCTTTCTGCTGCATCCTAGTTTTAATAGTGGCAAAATATTACAGCTTGTGATACCACAGTTTTTATTCCTGAACATTTACCTGTTGGAACAGCAAGGATTAAGAATGAGACATAAAGATCCAACTAATCAAAACACCACCACAATAACAACTGTTCAGCATCACCAGTGAACATAATTGCTCATCTGGTATTTTAAGTGAGTGAAGTATAAACAAATCAACATATTCTAGAACTTAAGGAAATGTGCTACTTTAATGTTTTGTTTTAGTTTTTCACTTTATTTTCTTGAATGATGCAGGATTATTAAAAGGAAAAAAACCTCAGCCTCAATACTCTATAATTGAATTGATCATTGCAAACAAGTCTTTTAACACCCAGCTGTGCTGAAGCTACCAGGGGGCAGGGCAGTGGGGGGCAGGGGAAGAGAAAGCATTATTGTCTCAATACTAATACTTTTGTTCTATGCAAATTCATTAGTTGTGCAAATATTCCTAAGAAGCATGTGTAATTACTAGGTAAATACAGTTCAACATTACTGGGGAGCAGAGATAGAGGATTACCCTGACTGCATACTGCATATTTGAAATAACCTAATTGGACTCATATTCAGAAGAACTTCCAAAATAAAACAGTTCAGGAAGAGCAGCAAGATTCCAAGGTCACTGGGAATATTCCTAGGGTGTTCCACCCTGGTTTATCTTTCCTCACAAGGTTTTTTTCCTTTGCAAAGAATAGCCACTTGCAAAGAATGGAAGCCTGAGGCAGGCCTTGTGCCATCCCTTATTCAAGTTCTTTCATACTCCTCTTTTTAAAGAAGCTGTCAAGTTCTTTTCTGGTGCTGACAGGGAAGGCCAGATCTGCAATACAGGAAGAGAGGCAAGAGAGAGAGAGAGAGAGAGAAACTTTTTGTGTTGATGTTTTACTAAGTGAGCTAAGGAGAATTTTAGAATCATGTAATTTACTCTGGAGGCATTTACTGTACATAGCCATAGTGATGGTAATTTCTTTCATTGTTGAAGTGAAAAGATAACCATCAATCAGTTGTCAATTGGTCAATTGCAGCAGTGATGAAAAGAAACTGGTAGGAACAATCACTTTCAGTGGCTACCTAGACTATTTGGGGTTTGGAGGAAAATACGGGAACCGGATTAGGTAAAAATGGAATGAGCCTTAGAGGTTGGTGGTATTAAAGAGTAGAGGATTAAAATGCAAGGCGACATTTGCCTGAAGTTCAGAGAGCTATGAGGATGATTCAAGGCACAGTGTATGGCAAACACTGGTCAAGTGAGAGCTGGATTGCTCAAAAACAAACACAAACTAGTTGTGAAGTGAAGCTATTTATCCGCAGATAATAATAATAATGATTTAAAAATCTGAATGCAAAATGTAGACACAGTATGCTTGACAAGAAGCCTAGTGGCACATGCCAGCAGTCCTGAAAAAAATGTGAGCTTGCTCAAGGGGTTATGTGTTCGTGTCCATGTCTACAGCTGCAAGTAGAAATAACAGGGAACCTGATAACACTGGCAGGCCACAACATGGATGCTCCAAAGCAGCAAGAATGTGCGCACTTTCCTGGGAGTAAGCCTCATGGAACTTACTTTTGCGTAGGCATGCATGGTGTTACACTGAGAGGCTCCTGGACTTCGGAGTAGCAGGGGAAGAACAATCCAGCTTGACTATGTTTCAGATAAGCAGCTTTCTGTAGTGAAAATATAAAATGAGATGACAAATGAGCCCTTGGTTACCTCATCTATCCATCGTTCTATTTAGATTCCATGGACAAAGGTTTGTTTCTAATCTTCCTGAGTTGCTTTATTCTTCTTGGGCTTTTTTAGACATTATAACCCTCTCTGATTTGTAGGGTTCTTAATTTTAGTATTATTGTATTTCATTTTATTTTGCTGTGGTAGGTTAAAAAAGGAGAAGAAGGAAGGATTACAGGCCCACCAGAAGGAAGAGATAGCATCACTTTGTAATCCAGCCCATGGTTTCCTAGATACCGTATTGTCTCTTCTGTTCCACTATGTGAAAAATGTTGAATATCAACAATGGGTTTCAGTGCTGTATTGTTGAGTTTTGTATGAACTAATCTAGCTTCACTAAAAAAAGAGAGGGAGAGGGAGAGAGAGAGAGAGGGAGGGAGAAAAAAAAAAGAAAGATGTTGCGGGGGTGGGGGGGGACTACAGCTTTGGACAAAAGTCTATAGCCAGAGCATTTGTAATTCCCCATGCACAAGAGCTGACTGTGTCTCTGGGAAGGCATTTTGCCTGTTTGCATCCTTATTTCCTAGAGTTTTCTAGTCCTGCTCTCAGG